AGTTCTGAAGAAAAGTGGCTCTCGAGGATACTTGTCGATCCTAGCCCAGAAGACCCCGACCACCCCCCATCAGAATGCAGTTCCGGAAGGAAGAAAAAACCAGTTCCAACACTGGATAATCTCTCTTCTCCCCCTTGTTTCCCCCCTTTTTTGTCACCCCTCCCCCTCCTTGTGTGTGTCCGTGTGTGTTGTCTGTCTTCTTTTCTTTTTACAGGTTCACCACTATGACTTCCTGGAGAATCGCCTGCCTGACGTCCCTGTACTTCATCTGTACCCTCCTTCCAGTTGCCACCAGTGTACCGCCAGGGTCCCAGTGTGGAGACACCCCCGTGGAACACTTCTACCTTGATCGCGACCTTACAGACACCAACGATTTCAACGCCTTGGGAGATTTCGACTTCTGCCTGTCCGGCACTAGGAACCTGATTCCCCACGCCTTCCGACCACGACTCAGAAACACCCAAGCCTGGGAACTTATCATCAGAAGTGCCTCCTATGCCATCCTGGGACGAGCCATATACACCCTTGAAGATCCATGGATCCGCTTGGCCTGTCACAATGGAACTTACATCCAAGCTGAATGGGGAAAAGTCAGCAGACACTATCAACCCTCTGAAATCGGCAAAGGACTTTGGGAAAGCTACACAGATTCCATGTACTACGAACATTGGACTTATGGATTTTATTGCACCAATCAAATGGCTACTTCCACCTACCAAGGTATTTGCGTCCGAAGATTCTGCTGTATATGGGACCTACACACAACTTCTGACTGGGTAGGAAAAGCGTATCTTGAAGGGTGGTTGCATCCTGTGGGTGGTGGGAAAACCTTGGAATGGGATCCTGAGGGACCGCAACGATGTGGGGGAATAGCAACTGACCCAATGCTCCTCAAGTCCCAGGACCCTGTCCAACCCATAGGAACTGCCCCAAGACATGTTAAGCTCTCAGAAATAACACCTCCCCCCCCAGCCCGCAGACTATCGTCATGGCAAGCAAACTCTTATGTACAACTTTTACAGAAGGTAGTACAAACCACAAATCTTTCGCAGTGCTGGATCTGTGCACACGCCCCGTCACACATTGATGAAGGGATACCCTTTATAAGCACACCCCTTACACTAGATCAATACAGATCTAGTTACCTGCTTCAACGCAACCTAACTTTCCTGAAACCCAGCTCCCAATATATTTATCTGAGTGGCCGAACCTTTGGACCAGTGTGCAAGGAGTTCTCGGGAACTGGAGACCATGTAGGCTCCAGCGCCTGTAATGTTACCATCAAAACCGACCCCGAGGGACTCACCACACTGGTTCGTAACCACTCCCACACCCGCTCATTCAAATCTCTCAGTGATGCTTTGACTGCAGTACTGACACCCTTCACTCGAGAAAAACCTATGCCAGACCTCATTACTGCCTTCCGCACTGGGCGTATAGAAAAGCCGCTGGGAGGACTATTTTGGATCTGTGCGCAAAGAGCTTATACGTGGGTCTCTATTCATATGCAGGGGTCCTGTTACCTCGGCCACATTCACCCAGGGTTCAGAGTTACCCTAGCTCTACCTGGCGGCCGCTTGAGAAACAGGCGATCCCCCATTCCCACGACACGCCCACAGCCAAAACCAAATGGGGAAACGTGGCTCCGAGCCCTCCTCCCCGCTTATGGAACCTTCTCAAATCACCTAGACATTCTTAGGCTTGCTGAATATTAAGCGTGGTTGGGATCAGGGCAGTCAGATTAGAATGCCATCTTTGGCGATATCATCACACACACACACACACACACACACACACACACACACTGGCTACAGTACAATCCTGTTCAGTATGGCAGAGTCTTATGCTCTTCAGTAACCTATTTGAGGTTTGAAAGCCTGTAGGAAATGTCATGTGGTCTAAAACAACACAACAGTTCATCAGAAGCGCTTCCTTTCCTTTGTCGGGCTCCGTTCAACCATTTGAAAATGGCTATGTGATGCTTTCTGTCTGTTCTGCCAAATATATGCATCAACTATGCTTTGTTTGCTGTGCAAAATCAACAAGGTAATGGAAGGTGATAATATGCAAATGATCAGCTTAAGGCAAGGCAGGGATATGGATCACTGGGAGAGTTTGTCAGGGTGCGATATACCATGATAAGCAGGAACAGATATTCAGACCACAAAAGGGGGAAAGTTAAAGTCCATTGTATGGAGTACAAAGCAATGAAGTACACGTCTACAAGGTTGCCATGCAACAATTCAAAAAGAAAATTCCTACAAAACTTCAGTCACAACATGGGATATAATTCATGTTTAAAGGTGGTTCACTGCAGTCAAAATGACACATTCAGCCGTCTTCAGATGAAGTGAGTCCTGGACTTTTTTGCTCAGTGCAGGGCACTAATGGAATAAGCAGATCATCATATGGTCTGTTATATACATAGTTCTGCAAAGCTCAACTTCGATGGACACCACTGCATGTTCTCACCCATTTTCCTTCTGGTTTCCCCCCTCCTTTTTCTGCAACCTCTTTCGCTTCTTATGCTACTCAAATTAAATATCTTTATTTCAGTCCATAGACCCACAAAACAGTTTCAAAACAAGATACAGTTAAAACAACCAAACAGCAGGCGAAAGATACAAACATCTTATGCTAGTGTCTTCCATTCCCTTGAGCTTGCAAAAATTGCATGATTTCTTTAGATCATGCCAGATCTGCCAACTACACAGCATGATACTGTATAAATAATAAATGTCTTTGTTTTTGTTTTTTCACTGTGGGGTCACATAAAGCATAAAGCTAAACACATATTCAGAGTAAAATTGTTGCTCATGTCAGGTCAGCTTGGAAGGCAATTATTCCACAATGGGGTTGAAGTGATTTTAAAAAGCATCCTGTCTGAAAGATGCAAAATGATGATAAGAAGTTTCCTGTTTCTGAGATGGAGACTAAAGCTAGAGACAAATATAACCTGTTCCTAAAGAATTGTTTATAAAGATGCCCAGTGCTAACCAACATTTCTCCAATGAAAATAGGGACATCCTATTCCATAATAATAATAATAATTTTATTTTTTATACCCTGCCCATCTGACTGGGTTGCCCCAGCCGCTCTTGGTGGCTTCCAACATATATACAAACATAGTCAAACAGTAAACATTAAGAAACTTCGGATGTCTTCTAAAGGTTGTATACAATGGTACCTCGGGTTAAGAACTTAATTCGTTCTGGAGGTCTGTTCTTAACATGAAACTGTTCTTAACCTGATGCACCACTTTAGCTAATGGAGCCTCCTGCTGCTGCTGCGCTGCTGCTGCACAATTTCTGTTCTTATCCTGAAGCAAAGTTCTTAACCCTGAGGTAATATTTCTGGGTTAGCGGAGTCTGTAACCTGAAGCGTCTCTAACCTGAAGCGTATGTAACCCGAGGTACCACTGTAGTTACCTATCTTCTTGGCCTGGGGGGTTGCATAACTCTACCCTCCCAACATTTATCCAATGAAAATTGGTGTGTCCTACCATACACTTCAACATTTTTTTTGATGAAAATAGGGGTGTCCTAAGGAAAATAGGGACATTCTGGGATCAAACCAGAAACCAGGACAGTTTCTGTAAATTTGGGACTGTCCCTGGAGAGGCTGTATATTATGTGAGTGCTGTAAAATTTTGATAACCAATTTTACACAACACAAACATAGAACAACTTAGAGACTGCTCTGTTGCTGTTAAATTATCAAGGGAAATGACTCATGCTTTGGCAGATACAGAACATCATTGCACCAGGCCAAGCTACGAGCCTTACATGGCAGAACATGCCATGTGTTGATTGCTATCTAAAGACTTGAAAGAAGAAGTTAGAGGTTGTGCAAACTCAGTATGATAAGCTAGATTCACCATCTCTTATCATCAGAATCTTCTCCCATCTTCACTAAATCAGCTCCGTATCACAGAGATGGGGAACACTTTGTAATGCAAGGGCCACATTCCCTTCTGGGTAAACTTTGGGGGCCACATGCCCTTGGTGGGCAGGGCCAGAGGCAAAAGCACAAGCAGCAATTATTGTAATTCTTACTTTTATAGAGTAGACTAGGTTCTACAAATATTCAAGCACCCCTTTCTTTCCTCCACTCTGGCAAGCAAGAGGTATTATCAGAGTTCAATGACACATTCCAGCCAGTGACAGATCTACACTGGTTGTTTATAATGTTAAAAATGTGTTAATAAAACGTGACACAAGAAGGCACTGTAGAGCAGTGAGCCTTCAACAATAGAAAATTGCATTGAGAATGATATAACGTCATATTTAATAACATTTTTACAGATCAATGTAGATCCAGCCCAGGCCAAAACACTCAAGGAGTGTTCAAGCCTCGGCAGGGTGTATGACTTAAGGAACATCCTGAGGGCCAGAGAGAGAGACCTGGGTGGAATCTAGACACATATAAAAACCGCTCTGAAAATGCTTTTTTAAAAGCATTTTAAAAAAATACATTGAATTTGCCATAAGGCTCATCATTGCCCTCTAGTGTCACACTGTATATTACACTTAAAACATTTTATTTGCAGCTGTATAACTGGGTCCCTGGAGGCCAGGCCTGAGCTTCCCTACCCCTGCTTAGGGATGTAAGAACAAGCAATTTCTATTCTGACCTGTCAAGGTCATCTTGTTTCCATCTGTTGTGGTTTAGTTTTTGCCAAATATGAAATTATTTGTCTTATTTGTCTGCTATATAATTTATGTAATTTACAAATGTTATTAATTTTACATAATTAACAGTGTAATTATTTCCTCACTATACTTGTCAGCGAAAAGGCCATCCTTTTCTAAGGAAGCCTCCTTGTTTACTCATTGCAAGATAAGGCCCACTTCCCTTTGTTCTTATCACTGTGTACAAAGAGGAAACAAATAATGATCAGGCACACTGAGCTGCTGTTGGGAAATACAAACACCTCCCATTTCTTGTGATTGTGCAAACATCAGACAACTGTAGCTGAAGGAAGGAAAGGTCTAAGTGGGGCTTATAAAAAGAATACCCGCCTCATGCCTGTCAGAGTGCCTTAGAGAAGAGATGGGCTCCATCATGGCATTCCTCTTGTTCACCTGTGGTCTCTTACCATTGTTGACTGAAGCTACGGGTAAGAAATATTCCATGAATTGTTTCTGATTCATCTTAACAAGGCTAGTGGATCATTGATCTCTGCTTTCAAAGGATCTCTTACAGCTAGCCATCACTTGCATCAACTTCTGTTTAGCTATGGTCCTGTCTTAGTGGGGAAAAGATGACTTACAGTCTGTCCACCCATCAGTAAGCCCCACTGAGTTAATGGGCTTACCAGTGCTATTTTTTTCTAGAAAAAGAGGTGCTGGAACTCAACATGAACAGCTCCCTTGTTCTGTTATAATGGCAATGGCACCTACCTGAGAGGTGCTGGAACTGAGTTCTGGAGAGTTCTGGCTGAAAAAACAACCCTGGGCCTTACTCCTAGCTAAGTGTGCACAGGATCGCAGCCTTCATAGAGGTTCTGTAGCCCTTAAACTAAACCTCAGGCATGTATAACTAAGGGTAGACTGAAATTCCTTCCCCTTAAAGACCGCCACATCCTTTCCTTGGAAAAATGGGGCATGACTTTCTGCTGCTTTTAGAAGACATTTGAAGGCACTTTAAACATCTGAAGGCGCTGAAAAACTTTAGGGAAGTTTTTAATGTTTGATTTTTTAGTATGTGATGTGAGCCACCCAGAGTTGCTGGGGAAACCCAGCAAGATGGGTGAGGTATAATAATAATAATAATAATAATAATAATAATAATAATAATAGGCTCACCCATACTTACCTTTGCTCCACATTTCTAGGCACAGGTCTGGGATTTTCAGGTACGCATCTGACTGCTTATTTTTGGACCTGGCACCCCTGAAAACCCACTCTTTACCGCTGAATTGGAGCAAATGGCAATCCATGGAAAACCCAAATTGCCATTTGATCTGATTTAGTGGTAAAGATTGGGTTTTCCTGGGAAACTGCTGGGCAAAATAAACAAACAAATAAGCACTCAGACATAGACTAAGAAAGCATGGCTGCTGGTCCCCAGTGCCTCTTCCACAGCCCAGGTTGGGTGGGATGCTCCAGCGGCTACATATGGTACCAGTCTGTGGCACACTGGGGAGGGGGGAATGCCAGCCCACCACAGGAGACAGCATGAGAAGCAGTGGCTTGCTCTGCATCCACTGCTTGCTCGCTACTAGTTTTTGAAGCCACATTCACATGATATTAGCCACTATCCATACTGATGCTGTAGTTTCTTGACAAATACTGCTGTTTGGTGTGTGATTTTCTTAAACCAGCTTCAATTATGACTAGAAAACTGAATGCTGAGTAAGTGGAAATCGAGACAGCTGTTGCACATGCATGGATGAAAACTACACTGTTTCCAGTTAATGAATTGTAGTTCTTATTCTTACACCTTTGTCCCCTGTTTCCATTTCAGCTGATCATCCCTGTGTCTTCCCATTTATTTACAAGAATAAATCCTATTCCTCTTGCACCAAGGATGACTATCATGAGCTGTGGTGTGCCACATCGACTGACCATGGCACAAAAAACATGTTACAATGGAAAACATGTTCCCCTAAAGGTGACCTGTATTTTCTTCTATTTCTGGTTTCCTATGTCACACATATGCATAGCCATTTTACTGAAATAAAGTAAACAGATCATCCTCATGAACTTTAAAGCTAGATGTGGGCTTTCCATAGGTATCTGATTGGACATCATGGAAACAAAATGTTGGATTAGATGGGCCTTTGGTCTGATGCAGCTGAACTCTTTCTGTGCTCTTAAACAGGTTTGGGACTACCATCAGTAGCTTTTATAGATCTTCCTTATACCCAAACTATTACAAATCTCCTTCCAAGGATCAGTGAAAAGTTGCTTCAAGCAACAAGATCTCTGAAGAAATGAAACACATCACCAGTATGTTAAGTTGAAAATATGGTTCAAACTATGTACCTAAGAGGCACTTTTGTACAAATATTTCCTACTAATAATTGATAAAGATTGCATAGACCATAAAAGTCACATGTCATCTTTTCTAACATTACTGATATTACATTGGCATAAATGCCAGCTATCTTCATGTCTTGTTTTATATCTAGTATAACTGAATTCATGCACTTAATCTTTCTTTATACTTTCTTGTTTCTTTAACATTATTGTCAGTTGAGTAATTGCAACCTGCTCTCACAGGCTCCTGCCCAATTCTTTTGTCCTTGGTTTGTAGCTATCTTTCTAAGTCTTTGCAAAGGAGATATCTGGCAAGGTTTATATATATGTGACTTATGGTATCTATATGGTATCTGAAGAAGTGTGCATGCACACAAAAGCTTATACCAACAACAAACTTAGTTGGTCTCGTAAGATGCCACTGGACAATTTTTTTTAATTTTTTTATATATTTCGACTGTGTCAGACCAACACGGCTACCTACCTGAATATATGTGCTTGTTCACCATTTTGTGTGTTTTTTTTGTATTTTGTGATCATCACTAGTATGTTTCAATGCATATAATCTCACTCTGTTTGGGTCTAGAGTATGGAGGTAATGATGGTGGACGAGCCTGTGTCTTCCCCTATGCGTACAAGAACCAAACCTTCTATACCTGCACCAATCTAGATTCGCAGAAAGGGAACTTCTGGTGTGCGACAACAGGGAGCTATGACAAGGACAAGAAATGGAGCTACTGTGCTGATACCAGTGAGCATACTGCAGGGGGCTGGAATAACAGGAGTGGTTGGCTGGGTGAATAATTAGTCAAGGCACTTTGTAGGCCAAGGAGAGTGAGCGGGAAGTTCAGTATTCCCCAATCTGGTGCCCTCCAGACATTTTAAACTGCAGTTCCCATCACCACTGACCAGTAGCCATATTTGTTGGGTCACACTGATGTGAAACACCTGGAAGGCCCCACGTTGGGAGCACTTGCTTTGCATGCAAAACATCAAAATTTCATTCACCAGAATCTCCAGGTAGGGCTGGAAGAGAGTCCTTGCCAGTCAGACAACACCAAGCTAGATGGATCTAGCGTCTGACTCAGTTTTAGCGTTGTAACAGTGGTACAATAGAAGTTATAGAAAAAGGAATATTATAGGACTCAGCTACATTAGCCAAAACCCCACGTTTTAAATGTGTAAAAACATGCAACACCAGATGGCACTGTAGAGCACAAAACTTTTCTATCCGATTTTAAATAATGTTTTTTCTTTTGTTATAATGATTTGATTTATTACTTATTTATAGTGTTTTTTTCCTGTGTGTAGATCCACCCTACGTTTTGTGACTCATGTCACAAAGACATAATCCTCCCTCTCTCCCATAGATCAACCCAAATATTATTCTTAAAAATTAATATTTATTGATTTTTAAAATAAAAGTTGAGAAGGTGGATTGGCATTACAAAATGTTCAAAACAAATACAATCTTTCAAAATAGGTGAACATGGTTCAAACCAACACCAGAAAATAAAATAAAAATAAAATTCTACCACCAATCAATATGTATTAGTCATCAGAGCCATTTTTTCACTGTTTCATATTTTAAAGCAAATATTCTTGATCACAATGAATACCAGAGAATCGTGTGAGTAGAGCAAAATAACTCGAGAAATGTAGCAAATTCACTGTGCCCACAAAAAGGGGGGTGGCATAGAATTACTGAACCTTTCTAGAGGAATTAGTGCTGATTTACAAGTCTGCTTTCAATATCTAGTCTCTAGTTTGGTACTTTTGAATGTGTTGTAGGACAGAGAAAATGGATAGGAAATAGGACATTAATGACAGGATTAGGGAACCCCTGTTGTATGAGATGACCATCCCTCTGTCTCCACCTTTCTGCAGGACTTTCTGCCAATTCTCATGGGCCATGCGTCTTTCCTTTCATCTACAAAGGCAAATCCTACTCATTTTGCACAACAAGTGGGGCATCTACTGGAAAGCTCTGGTGCTCCCTCACCAGCAATTACGATACAATCCCCAAATGGACTTACTGTGATCCTTCAGGTAGGGGATGAAATCCAGAGAGAAAAGTCAGATACCCTTGTTTTACCATTGGGGAACATATAAGAGGAGGTGGGTGGGTCAGAAGAGAGACAAGGTTATTTTGTGTGATGGACTGGAAACATCTTCTCCTCTTTGGCAATTTTATTCAGAATTAAATATTCACATTGGTGGGCGCCTACATGGTGTACATTTATGGAGAAAAATCAGGGGTGTGTAGGATGTACATTCAAGATATGATTTTGGTAATACTTTCGGATGCATCTAGAGTTTCGTCTTCTGCCTTCAAAGCTGGCTCATGTGCTCATGAGTCTGGAAACAGCAAAATTATTGCATATGGACCTTGAGTCAGCTTTCTTCTTACCGTGCATTTCCCACTAATCCCTCTTAATGTAGTTTTTCAATTCCCAAACCTTTTATTTCTTCCTCAGAACCACGCCCTTGCACCTTCCCCTTCATTTTCAAAGGGAAATCCTACTCTGCCTGCACCATGGATGGATCTGGAGATAAACACTGTGGTGTGCCACGACTGCGAAACTATGACAAAGACAGTAAATGGAAGGCATGTGCCCTTCAAGGTAGGCCATGTTGTGGCAGGAAACTTGTCAACTATTTTCAGGAATGAGGGAACTTATTCCATGGAAGTTTGGTATAGATGTAAAACAGTGGTTTACAGTGGTACCTCAGGTTAAGTACTTAATTCGTTCCAGAGGTCTGTTCTTAACCTGAAACTGTTCTTAACCTGAAGCACCACTTTAGCTAATGGGGCCTCCCGCTGCTGCCGCACCGCCGGAGCCCGATTTCTGTTCTTATCCTGAAGCAAAGTTCTTAACCGGAAGCACTATTTCTGGGTTAGCAGAGTGTGTAACCTGAAGCGTATGTAACCCAAGGTACCACTGTACTAGGGATTGCTATATGGGATTGATTGGGGCAAAAAAACCCTAATAAGGATAATAATAATATTATATCTGCATATGAAGTATCTTTAAGTTCACCATTAATTTTGAACCATCACTAGGCCTTATTTTCAATTTACAGAAGCCCCATTGCTTGTGCTGTACTTGTACCCAGGCCATGACTAGCCCACCCATGAAGCAAGCTGAAGTGACTGCCTCAGGTGGCAGGATCCAGAGGGGCAGGAAATCTAGCTTCCAAAGAATATGCTGTCCATTGCTTCCACCCCAGGGGCAGCAATGTCTGCGGTGCACTCCTTGGAGGCTAGATCTGCTGTCTCTTCGGCAGCCTCCTCAATCCTGCCTCCATAGTGGCTTCTCGGTGAATAGGGGGCACTGGTGGTCTCCTCCTACCCCTAAGGAGGAAATAATGGGGGCTGCAATCCGATTGTTCTGTAGACTCATGCAACATCTGAACAAAAAGGACTGAAAACAGAACATGGGATAGGAATGCTTGGGGAAGTGTTGGCTTGGAACCAAATATGGACACGCCACCTGAGAATTTACATATAGTTTAAACGAAAATACTACCCACCATTTGAAGTCGATTATGGAAATCAAAAGTATAGTCTGAGCTTTTAGGGTTGCCATATTTTGAAGAGCAAAAAAGAGGACACATTTGCCAACTTCTACTTTTAGCTACAGATCGCTATGACAATTCTCATTTTAAATACCCTACTATATATAGGCTATAGAAGCTGTGATATATTGCTAGTAGCAATGTTCTTAACTTTCAACAACAAAATAATAATAATAATAATAATAATAATAATAATAATACATATTGCTACCTCACTTGGCACATGAAAGTATTTCAGCTCATGTCCACATCTTTGTGAACATAAATGTGCACAGAACAATTTATTAAACTATTTGACGTGTACATACGGACTCTCCTTAAGGGCAGGGGGATGTTAACTGTTGCTCTCCCAGACTCCTTCTCCAAGATCTTGTAGCTGAGCCAGTGTCCTTTTAGTTCAGCCACAAGAGAAGGGATTTATACAGTATATAGCTAGTTTAAAATTCTGCTCTGTTGTGACTCTCTGCTGCAGCCTAGCTTAGCTGGGTGCCTTAAATCTGAGTCTAATGCACTATTAAAAAATTCCTGGGTTACTGTAAACAAAAAAACCAAACCAAAAAAACCTGGACATTTTGCCAAATTTTAAAAATCTGCCAGGACAGAAATTTTAATCTTGAAAAAGAGGACATGTCCTAGAAAAAGAGGACATATGGCAACCCTAGAAAGGTTGCTCAGTCCCTGAGTGATTGGCCTTTGTCCACTTCTTCAATACATAATTTTAAAACACTTTCTCCTTTTTGATCCTTCTTATTTTTGTATTCCCTGCATCTGTAGAATATGAAGGGAACTCCAATGGCCAGCCCTGTGTCTTCCCCTTCACCTACAAGGGCCGGAAATTCTTTACCTGCACCAATGAGGATTCTGATCATGGCAGGTTCTGGTGCGCAACAACAGGCAACTATGATAAGGGCAAGAAGTGGAGCTACTGCGCTGACACAAGTAAGATGATGCTAATGGTAGTGTGCTACTAAGTTTAGAAAACACCTGAAGGCAGCCCTGTTCAAGGAAGTTTTTAATGTTTGATGTCGTATTGTGTTTCAAAGGGTGTTGAGGTAGATATTTTGGTTGCTAAATCAAAGAAAGAAGTGTGATGCGTTGTTAAGTCACACCCTCCAACCAGACTCCAAATCAAAGAAAAGAATAGGTTGACTTCCACCCAATTCAGGTATATGTGGCTCACTGACTGTCACATTTTGGCACACAGTCAAGACCAGAAAATGCTGCTAGCTGACTGAAATTTTAGTTTGATTTAGCAAGCCCTGCTTGCCTGCCCATTTGATACTTCAGATGACACCCCAATTCCTTTGTTTTATTGCGGACTTGTCACCATGGCATGCAATTTAGCCCTTGTGGTGACATGATTGTTTGTGGGCTATGGTTTTTTGCTAACAGTGCCAAAACTCTCTTCATTGTTCAAGATTTTATGTATAAATGCACCCAGAAGTGCAGTGGGTCATATCCCACTAACATGTACTCTGAGTATACCCACTGAAATTAGCCATGCCCATTAATTTCAGTGGGTCTACTCTGAGCATGACTAACATTTGCAGAAATGAGTTGACATTGTACAGTGCGTACGGAGCATTCAGTAGACGTTAGTTGATCAAACGGGAATGGATCTGGAAAAAGCCCAATCTCCATGGGTGCTGAAAACTTGATGTATGGTGCTTGCAATATGACTCTAATGCAAGGTGTGGAAGTGCTAAAAGGCAATGCTATGATGAGTCACTGATGTTTAGCATGGGGAGAGAATTCTGGGTCACAGTGTCTGAGTCCACAGGTTTGTTCTAGATATATGTTATGAAGTAAATCTGTTGTACTTCCCAGGACTTGATAGTTGGAATAATCCTTTCCATTTTTTAATCATTTGGGCTATAAGTTTCATTGGAACTGTTCAACATTGATGGTATTTTGACTACTCTGTTCTCGTTTTCCAGGAGTTCAACCAGGTGGCGGCGATGAATGTCAGTGATTCCAGTTATCCAGTTTTGGATCACAACAGGTGGATGAGTAAAAGAAAGGTCATTGGGTGTGCCGACTAGAAGCCTTGCTTAGTGGGTTGTGCTGCAAACAATTTAGAAGAATGATGATCCTGTGACTTATATATATATATATCTGCTTTGGGAGGGCTTTACCCTGTGAGGTGGCCTAGAAATAAATAAGATGCGGCAGTGGGAGATTATTAATCTTTGTCAAACTGTATCTTTGTGCTACAAAAATAAAACATTTCTTCTAGTTTGCTGGGCAGCATAAAAAATTGTACAATGAGTGATCACTATGAAATATGACAAGTGCGGGAGAAACTTTTTGCAATTGCATCAATGAGATTGCATGGTCTTCATAGGATGAATGAAAATATGTACATGTGGCTGGTTGTATATGTGAGAGTTTGTGTGTTCTATCACACACTTCACCCAAACATCCAAAGCATGACCTTGACAGAAAGAGATAACAGAACCAGTTGAAGCCAGCTGTACTCAGCTTCTCTGCAGGAGTAACCCAAACACCAGGAACCTTCTGCTTGTTTCTTTCACACTGAGAAGCTTCCAGAACCCTCTTGAATTAATTAGAACAGGAAAGATCTCTACACATCAGATCAATACTTTCTGTACTAAGAAATGCAAACTGATACTGTCATCCACTCCTAACTCGGACAGCCACTCCAGAAGGATATCATGGTTGATGGTATTGAAAGCCACTGAGAGGTCAATGAGAATTAACAGAGACACATTTCCCCTATCTCTCCTGACAGAGGTCATCATATAGGGTGATCAAAGCAGTTCCTGTGCCAAAACCAGGCCTAAACCTTGATTGAAATGGGTTCATTTGATAAAAACCTCAACATTTACATCTAATTTCACTTTATGAGAAATGTTGGTGGCACAATAATAATAATAATAATAATAATTTATTATTTATACCCCGCCCATCTGGCTGGGCCTCCCCAGCCACTCTGGGCGGCTTCCATAAAAACCAAAAATACAATAAAATATCACACGTTAAAAACTTCCCTGAACAGGGCTGCCTTAAGATGTCTCCTGAATGTCAGGTAGTTGTTTATCGCCTTGACATCTGCTGGAAGGGTGTTCCACAGGGCGGGCGCCACTACCGAGAAGGCCCTCTGCCTGGTTCCCTGTAGCTTTGCTTCTCGCAATGAGGGAACCGCCAGGAGGCCCTCGGCGCTGGACCTCAGCGTCCGGGCAGAATGATGGGGGTGGAGACGCTCCTTCAGGTATACTGGACCGAGGCCGTTTAGGGCTTTAAAGGTCAGCACCAACACTTTGAATTGTGCTCGGAAACGTACTGGGAGCCAATGCAGGTCTTTCAAGACCGGTGTTATATGGTCTCGGCGGCCGCTCCCAGTCACCAGTCTAGCTGCCGCATTCTGGATTAGTTGTAGTTTCCGAGTCACCTTCAAAGGTAGCCCCACGTAGAGTGCATTGCAGTAGTCCAAGCGGGAGATAACCAGAGCATGCACCACTCTGGCGAGACAGTCCGCAGGCAGATAGGGTCTCAGCCTACGTACCAGATGGAGCTGGTAAACAGCTGCCCTGGACACAGATTTGACCTGTGCCTCCATGGACAGCTGTGAGTCCAAAATGACTCCCAGGCTGCGCACCTGGTCCTTCAGGGGCACAGTTACCCCATTCAGGACCAGGGAATCCTCCACACCTGCCCGCCTTCTGTCCCCCAAGAACAGTACTTCTGTCTTGTCAGGATTCAACCTCAATCTGTTAGCCGCCATCCATCCTCCAACCGCCTCCAGACACTCACACAAAATAGCATATGCACAGTATGCATAATAGTTTCTCATTTGCACATATTTGTGACCAAGTATCATGAATAGAAAGAACATTTCATAGAATTTATGGCATATTGAGTTTACTGTTAACTGGGAACCATGCTAATCCTGGCTCCCAGGTTATGACTCATATGTTTATTGCATTCCTACTTTATATTTGTATATATGAATGTAAAACATTTTAAATGTGCATTTACAAAATGTAATATGTGACACAGCCCTTAGATTAATAACAAGGATTAGTTTGATGTTGATCAACAAGATTACCAGGAACTGTTGCATGAGTCAGTAATATGGTTTCAGAGAAGCCTGCATTACCGGGGCAGGAAATTGTTCATTTTTTGGGGGGGGGAGTTTTTAAAAAGTAAGTTATTTGAAATCCCAGACACTTTTACAGAACTGGACACAAATCTCTCATGCTGTTTGCTTTTCCAAGCTTCACTTCATTCCACTAGGGTGCTCTGAGAACAAAATTGGACCCAGTTCCCAGTTTTTAATTAATGGGTTGTTGAGGGAACTGAGTTCACTCTAATTATGTCGAGCTTGTTGCAATCATTGCATTGCTTGCTATAGAACAAGTTTTCTTGGATTTGCTGGAAAATTTTCTGTACACACTCAGTAAGCATAGCCCATTGAGACACTCCCCTGCCACTGTTGACCTTAGCCAGATTTCTATTCTTTGCAAGGTACTGAATGACCGCTATACGGTACAAGTGTTGCATGGCTGAGCAAGAGAGATACACCAATCAAAAAATCACGGTTTCTTTGCTCAACAATTCCGGTGCTTTCATAAGCAAAAAAGCTCAACAACTTTGTTGGTGTCCTGGTTTTTACTTTTTGAAATATGCCAACCCTAGAGACAAGCAGAGTCTTTTTTTTTTTTATGGAAACAGAAAATATTTCCATGAGTTCGTGGAAACCATGCCGTATCTCTCTGTTGTGTTGCCAGTTGCGTTGTTAGAATGTGCCACAACATCATCCAAGTTACCTCTGCAAGCATGTCAATTTCAAATATTCTGATTATATCTAATTTCAGTTAAGTGTTTTTGTTTACTTAATTTAGCAGTGGCAGCTAACCCCCATCCCCCTGGCTACACCCATGGTTACATGTCTTGGAATTGCTAATAATTTTCAGCATTCATAGAGGTCTTTGAAGGGAGTGTGGAAAGTCAGTGTGTCAGGAATATAACACCCCCCACCAGTGCTATTTTTCTAGAAAAAGAGGTACTGGAACTCACAAGGAACATCTCCCTTGTTCTCTTAAATTGGCAATGGAACCCACCTGGGAGGTGCTGGAACTCAGTTCTGGCGAGTTCCAGTTTTTTAAAAAGGCCCTACTCCCCACTCTCAGAACAGCCAATTCAGAATGACAGTGAAGTTCTTCTGAAGCTGAGGTGTTGCCTTCAGGGTTTTGCAGCTAGCAATGAATTATAGCTCAGACCTAACACCAATGGTTTGCTCACTGTAATTTCAGAAGTATTACGTATGTGGGAAATCTCATGCCAAAGCAGTGCAGGGATACAGGAAAGGGGAGAAAAATGGCCCAGCCCAGCTGATTGGCACATACACACCTCTCTTGAGTTTCTTGTCCCAGTATTTAGTATTTGAGATTCCTTTGTCTGGTATGAGTGTCATGGCTATTTATGGAGTGCAGTGTTTTGCAACCATAATTAAGGGTGTGTGGAGACGGTGCTAAAAAGAGGACACCACAAAGAAGCACAGGGATTTCAAACTCTGGAGTGATCAGCAACTATGTGGTTCATCACTCAACTCCTAGTTTGTACCTGGGTCCTGTTACCCTTCAGTTCAGCACGTCCAGGTAAGAATTTCCTTCTGCCTCCCCAACACTGCACAGCAGGAACTATCTCCCTTCTTCTGTTTTATTCTTTCCTGCTTCATTACATTAAGATTGGAAGCTCCTGTCCTGTGAGAGAAGCTGTGGAGAACATGGTGACTCAGAAGCAATGATTTTGTTTCCTGGTGGCACTCAGTTGTATGGAGTATCGAAACTTTTTTTATTTAAAGAGCAACATCATGTTCTCATCTGTTTATTGGGGGATTTAGTGAGGTTTACTATTGAGTAAGATTGCATAGGATTGTACTGTTAATATCTATAGGGTAGAAGTGGAAAAGAAGCATTTGTGCGAGGTACAGAAGATGCTTTCCTTGCCTGGGCTGTGGAACAAGGCCAGTGGGCAAAGTTTAAAGAAGAATCAGGGCAAAACCGAGCAGGAAGTGTTATGTAATGCTGAATAGTTGTGCTATGGGCTGAGGAGGCGATGTCTCTTTTGCTACTGAGCCTGACAGCTGTGGCTTCTGAGGAACCATGTTGTATCTCCTTGACACATTCCTTCCAGTTCCTTAGGTATACGCTCTGCTCTGCTTCTTCTCATCCCCACCCACTGCCTTCTTGAGTGAGAAGTGACTGAAGTGGAGAAGGACTAAAAAGCAGCAGTCACTGTGAGGACAGTGCCATGCCAGTTCCCCAGACGAAGTTCCCCCTTCATGGCAGGAGGGGATGGCAAAGAGACCTGATAAGGCAGAAGGCTGCATGACATTTGCCTTTTTATTTTGGTCATTTGCAAATGATAGTGCATGAAAACATAAAATGACCACTGCTGGATCAGACCAAGTCTGATTCAGCATACTCCATTCAGTTTTGGTCAGGCGATTATTTTTCTTAAGGCAATGGGTGGCGCATGCAGAGAACCCCCTTTCCCCATCCATGTACTCCCCAACAACTGGTATACAGGGGAATACAGACGGAAAGCATTTAATTGTTATGGCTAAGAGTAGTTGGTTCTGCTTTCCTCCATCACCTTTGTCTAATCTCCTGTCAAAGTCATTGAAGTTAATGGCTATCACCTTGTAAAATTAATTACGGGTATGCTTGATATAATGATGCTTGATACTATCTTTTATCTGTCTCGAAACTCTTGCCAATCACTTTCATTGGGTGTCTCTGAGTATTATGTAGCATTATAAAGGAGAGATTTAAAACTGCTCTCTATCCTGTGTTTCCACATTATACATAATGTTTATTCTCTCTCCCTCCTTGTTGTCTCAAGGTCTCCAAACACTTAGGGGTTTCCCCTCCCCAAGGATCGTTTTGCAGGCACTTTCCCATACCTTTCCCAGGTCCACAATATCACTGTATATATTGGTACACAAATGCCGCATACTATCCCACAGCTCCAATATTAATTAATTGTGAGAAATGTAATTTGGGAAGGGTCATAGCTCAGCTGTAAAGCATCTGATTTGTATGCAGAAGTTCTGGGTCCAGTTTCCAGTATCTCCAGGTAGAACTGGGAGAAACCTGCATCTGAAATCCTTGAGAGAGACTACTAGTCAATGCTGAGCTAGATGCAACAGTGGTCTGGCTCAGTATAACAGCTTCTTATCTTCCTAAAGTCAGTGAACTCCCCCCCCCCAAAAAACGCTTGTGACTTCCTAAGTTTACATTGCATGTTTCATGGTGTCGTGTCCCCCCTATCTTTGAAGAGGAAGGAAT